ACCTTGTAGGGTCTATAACCGTCCTAATAAGCCTACTATTTGCTCAAATTGGGATTCATAATTTCTGCTATCAGTTCTAGAATCTAGGGTTCACAGTTTCAAGTTTTCTTCCCAGATATTCCCCTTTTCTTTCATCTCAATAAAAGAGTGATATCATTGTTCATGTCTTTCAAATTTGAGTTCAGAAGCTTTATTCATGTCTCTGGTTTTAATTGCGTCTTCTTTTGAATCACCTGTTTTTCTTCTTCCTTATATGTTTTTCATCTTTCAAACCTTAATTACTTTTTAGTTTCTTTAGTTTAATTTTATTTTTTGTTGATAAATTTTAATTTTTTTTCATTCTTTTTATAATTTCAACATATTACATCATCACCTAGACCAATCATTCAATCAATTTACCATACAATCATAAAATTAGATATTCCAAAGTATTTATAACTTAAAAATACTGCAATTAGTTTCTTTTATCTGAACAACCGTTCTTAAGATCCTTACCAACGAAACTTCTTCCAATTTGCAGATGTTTTATCTACACATAAAAACATAATACTAATGATTAGGAAATACAATTATGATACTTGATCAGCATAAACTCATATAAATGACTAAAAAGTGGTCATGGAATCAACTAGCCCCGAAAATGACCATTGTCTCCTATCTTAATCGACCAACACCCTTTGTGGGGTCTAGGTTAGCGCGCAGTTGGGCATCGTAACCCAGCTTCCGGTTCATCCCGCATCGCCAGTTTTGCTTACCAAAAATGGCCCACTTGGAGCTTCCGGTTCATCCCGCATCGCCGAATCCATGTTCGATATCATTCTCGTGCGTTTTTGCTCCTCCATGAGGGACACAACCCAGTCGGACTGGTCCGAGGGCGATTTTTGTTCGGCAGGCGTTGTTTTGGGGTCGTCCGAAGCAAAACTGGAGGTGACGAGGTGGGGGCTAGTAGGGTTGAAAGGCAAAAAATCTGGCTCATCCCAGGGTGCGAAATCATAGTTGAACGCGGGGAATGCATTTCCCAACACAGAATCGGAAGAGGTAAGATCAGAAAGCTTGGTCTGAAACTTGGGAGGGGAAAAGGAAGGAGGGAGAAAGGGAAGAAACGCAGCTTAGGGTGGTCGTATTTATGGAGATGCGGTAGGGCGAAACCTGCGTAATTGGGTTGGATTGATATAAAATAATAATAAACTAATAAAAAAAACTTAAAATAATCATGAAAACGTTAAACGAATGCTCACATCCATTAGCGGATGTCAACATCCGTTTAAGGCAAAACGGATGTCGATATCCGTTTTAGCTTAAACAGATGTTGATATCCGTTTTAGCTTAAACGGATGTTGACATCCGCTGACAGATGCTCACATTCGTTTAAG